CAGCGGTGAATGGTAGTGCTAAAATTACACCGCTGAATGCATGTGGATGATTACAGATGCTGATTACGGACATAATGGTAGTCGCTCATTGGTCTAGATAGATAAGGATACATTAAGAAGCTTCTAGAAGGATCTAGAAGGACAGGCTTAGAGGTAGCACAGAGAAGCAAACTAAGGACCTAAATATATTCACTTCGGTTTTTGCCATCTTCTCAACAGGGATTAACGACTGCGCGCCACTATAATGCGACATCTGAGTTTCAAACAACTGAGTTGAAAAACTTTAGCAACGCAACATATGTTGCATCTGACCGGCAAGTTGTACTTCTAATTAGTTAGCGGCTTCACTATCGCGACGTAGAAAATCCATAATTGGGGTGAAGCAAAAAAAGCACACACACACCACCACATTAGGCCGGATAGGCTTATATCTAAACTGAAAGGAATACCCAAAAAAATGTATGCTTTCTGTAAGGGTTTGATCAGCACCATCGCTGTTTGAAACGACGCTTCTTGAATTGTCTAAAACACAAGTAGCTTAGATCCAAGCAGACATACTTTAAAGTAGAATTGCACACTTTTTTGCATGTAGCTCCTTGTTCGGTAGCTTTCATTTGGCAAGACTTAAGCACGATTAGGCATTTATACCCGTGAGCGTCCACTTATTGTACGACTGAAGGTCACGGGGCAAATATGGTTAATTCGAATTTGAATAGACCAGAATTTAGGAGCACGTGATGCTTTCTTCTATTTTTCTGATGGGCTTTGCTTCGACTTGTTATCTTCTCAAAGAAATTGGAGAGGGACGGTGCCATGCCGGCGTATTCTGCAATAAGTCGATACAATAATTGGCCAGGCTCAATCATTGCCTCAAAGCCCATTTGGACAGGGGAATTAGCGACTCAATAATTTGCGGGGTCAGACAACAGCCCATTTTCACAATGATTCGTCTTTCAGATGACAGTTCTCGGATAATACTGTTTGTGATGGCAGACAGTTATTCTGACCAAATGCAACCAAGCACAATGAGCGAATGCAGGGGCTGTGCATGGGCTAATATTGTCTAAGCAGCTGCGTCACTACGCAATCGAACATTGTTGGAGCATGAGCTGGCTTCTGGGGTTACCACTAGCAAATCCAAGCGTTGTTTTGCTTGAAATAATTACCGAAGATAGAAAATTATTACCATCTTTCTAGAGAGCTTAGTTATCATATCTATTAGGTTAAAAGCACTGAACAGAGCGCTAGTGGCTATGATATTCGAAAGTATACCCTTCCTTAAGGCCTATTTTCAGTAATATGTTAAGCTTATTATAGACATGTAAGATTTCTATAGCTTTTGTAACACAAAAGGCGGCGCAATGCGAGGCATTCGCCATAATCCGCTTCGAAAGAGGGGCACGGGCGCACAATTTTTACTGCAGTGATGCGGCATGTTAAAAAATTATTAAGCCTCCATCTCACTTTTATGGATGGGTGAAACGGTGTTGCCATGAATTCTAGAGAAGAAAAGCACTGCGCATTTCTCCAAAAGAGACAACAATTCACTGGCCATAGGAGCAGCGACCTTCTGTAATTGACGTAGCGGTATCCTCGTTTTTTTGGTGCAAAATCCCACCTAGTAGTTATAATTAAGTAGGATTTTACAGGTCGAATCAGAGAATGTTGCAGTTTCTATTACGCTCCGCCGTGGGGCTTTTGGCCTTTTGGGCGTTCGGGAGGCTTGCGCTAGTATTGTGCAGCTGAAACGAAGTATCTTGGCGCACGGACCTTTTCGTTTGTCTACGCTGTCTAAGAAGTAGAATGAATGTCTACGGCCTAGAGGGGTGAAGAAGACTTAAAGAAGCAACCTAATATTGTGTTTGCACACTATCTTTATCTGGCCTTCGAACTTAGAAGAAAGCTGCAGCGGGGATGCCATAGATCTTTGCTGGGAGGAAGCTGAGCTAGGTCGCCGACATTACGTCTCTAGAGAGCCAGTAGGAGTGTAGCGGATCGCTATCCGCTACATCCAAAAGTACTCGAAAACTTAACCAAGGCAAATAAAGTCTTTTGTTCCAAATTAAAAACTGTATTTCTTTTGTTCTATTTGCGGCAAAAGCCGCAGGAAGTGCTCGTTTGCCTTGTTAGGACTTCGGCACTTAGAAATAGCGGGTTGCGATCCGATAAGCCGCTAATTTCTACGACCTTATATTTTCCTTATTAAATAGAAAACCTAACTAATATGCATAACTCCTGGCAGTCCTGCCACGTAGTGGGTTCTTGTAATGGTGCATCCATATCGTTGTGTGACAACTTGTGTAATACACACGTATGTACGATCACACCAACCTGTGTGACCTACCTACCCTTTCCTACACTGGTACGTATAACCCGTTACACTTCTCCCCCATCAAATTGTGAATTCCCACAATTCACATTTAAATGTCGCTTTATACGAGGCTTGCGTATCTAAGACACCGTTACGTTTATAAGAAAACTTTGGAGATTATTTGCTCTTTGAGTACTGTGTCTATGACACAAAATACAACCAGCCTAGCTGGTTCTGAGGGCGTTACCGGCTGAGCCATTCTTCGTTTTCTACACGGGGTGCATCTCCAAACCGTACGCCCGCGGCTTCACGGGAAGCATATCCAAAGCCCTCGGCAACCGGACACCACACACCGCGCCCGCTCCTTGGAGGAAGTCGACTACGAGTCGTATACTCCTTTCTCAGCATGGGAAAACGAAGAGGGCGGAATGCGCCAACGGCGCGACGTGGGCCCGATTGCAAACAGCGTGTCCGTTCCCCGACCTCTCGACTTCCAGGGGAAGTGGTATATTACCAATCGCCCCAACGAGACACGGAAGCAGCAGTTGGAGGCTGCCCACAGGGCGGGTCTCATGCGCTTGCATCCTCGTTTGGTCCTAGCCCTCGTGTGGAATACGGCTTCCGCTCGACGAATCCCGCTACTGAAGCAAAAGACGCGATCAATCGATCTTTAGGCGTCGACTTAGTCGGGCCTCCGACCACTACTCAAGCTGAGTCCTTCCAGCCAAAAGCTCTCGATCTCAAATACTCCCAATGGATAGGTACCGTGCTTGACTTCGAGATCAAAATTGAGACGCTCTTGCATCCGTAATTCAGACTATTCTTGGGGTGCTTGCCCCTGGCAAAACCGCAGCAGATGATGAGGGGGGGGGTTTGAGCGATGGGTTTGGCGTCATAGATCAGACGCTTCGAAGAACGTCCTTAACGACGCGATTCATGCGCTCAGATTGACCGTCGGTCTGCGGACGGTTCGCTGTTGACATAGTCAAGTTGGTGCTTAGCCACCTGAAGATTGTAGGCCAAAACTTCCCCGTGAAGCGTGGGGCTCTGTCAGAGACAATCGACTCCGGAAGTCCATGTTGTCCAAAGACACGATCGACAAACAGCGTCGCTGTACCCTCAGCGTCGATAGTTCCCA